AAGCCGCGGGGCACGGGGGCAGCGGGCCAGCCCAGACAGGCCGTGGCTGTCCTGCTGCCCGCGGGCTCCACGGCTTTGCTCTGCTTTGCTCCCTGTCTCCCTGGTCTGCAGACCAGGGGGACGGGGAGCAAAGTGGTGGAACACGTGGGCAGCGGACAGCCGCTTTGCTCCCGCTTTGCTCCCAGGGAGACGGGGAGCAAAGCAGAGCAAAGCCAAGGAGCACACGGGCAACGGACAGCCCAGACGCGTCTGGGCTGTCCGCTGCCCGCGTGCTCCGCCGCTTTGCTTCCTCTCCCTGGTCTGCTGGAGACCAGGGAGATGGGCCCCGTTCGTAACTGCGCATCCGACATAAGTCGGATCTGCGTAACTCGGGGACTGCCTGTAGTCACAAAAGAATTAAGGGATTTTTCCCAAGGTCACAAACTAATCTGTAGTATGGATGTCAACATGTAGACAATGACACGATTAACCATTAGCCTGTGTTTATTGGTTAATCCTGTTGACTGCATGCATCCTTCCCCTTCCTTCCTGTTGCCTCTGTAACTGGAGGGGGAAGAGGCGGGGGAGGAGGCAGGAGCCAGTGCCTGTGGGGAGCTGGCTTAAAGCTGGCTCTCCATGAGCGCTGAAACCTCCTTCCCTTCCCACACTTGCACTGCTGCCTCTGATAGAGAGGCAACAACGAAGAGGGTATGGAGTTCAGACAGGAGCCAATATGCACATTGAGCTGGCTCCACAGACTTGCTTGTTCCGCCTCCCCTTTGCTGCCTCCTATAGAGGCAGCGGTGGGGAAGGATGCAGGAGCCAGTACCATCTGCCCCTCCCCCCATGCTGCTGCCTTTATCAGAGGCTGTAACCTGGGGGCGGGTCTGAGAGGATGCTGCAAAGCAGCCTCTGCCTACTGTGGGTGGTCTGAGCTCCCCGTGAAGAGAGGTTGCTCCACGTTAGTAACCCCTGTCTTCAGGGAGCTCGGACCCCTGGTAGACAAAGGCTGCTACCACGCCATGCTGCTGCCTCTGATAGAGAGGCAGCAGTGTAGGGTGACGGGGGGCTCGCCAGGGGTGGGGCTGGGAGCGCACTGGCTGCGGATTCACCTCTGAGGACTATCAAATAGTCGTGTAACTGCTACAATTTGATGCGGTTACATGACTATTCAGTTGCAGGCTATCTAACTTCCCTAATTTGTAGGACAATGAATTGATGTCTTCTCAGTTGTAGTTCAGTTCTTGAACTGCAGTGCCATCCTTCCTGTTGCACAAGATAATATCTTAGTGCAAACTTATTTACCAGAGTTTGTGCCCTAGGTTACTTAAGAAGAATCTAAGTAGACCCTTAGAAAGCAAAATTGCAAGCAACTCAATCAACACTTAATGCAGATTTGAATCCTTTTATTTGAATTTGAATCATTGCCCTGTGTTGAAGTTATGTGGCATTGCCCCACTCTAGAAGAAATTTTAGAAATCCTTATACTCCAGGAGACAGAATACTTAGCCAGTGCTCAGACAAGTGCTTCTATTGCTTATTGTCACTCCTGTGTATGTGTGCCCTTCTTAAGTGCAGTACTTAGTGGTATTACCCCTTTACAGTTCTAGTGTTCACGTGAGCATCAGCTCCACTGATTTGAATATAAACTATTGTACACAATATGGAGTGACAATCTAGTGCTATATTTATTAACATGTACATTATATTTTGTAGGCCAAAACAAAAACAATTTGTATAGCACTGCTGCCAAGCAGGCAGCACAAGAAGAGAACATTATGGGATTACTTCAAAAAGCTGGTGAAGTTTCATCTGTCCCAAATGAAAATAATTATGCCTCAAGCAGAAAACAAGAAGCGTCTGAGCAGACTGAACAGAAAGTTATGTATGTAGAATCTATTGAATGAATCATCCAAAATAACTTTTTTATTCTTGTATCCTATATTAAAATTTCAATATGAATACAGGCAGTCCCCGGGTTATGTACAAGATAGGGACTGTAGGTTTGTTCTTAAGTTGAATCTGTATGTAAGTCAGAACTGGCGTCCAGATTCAGCCGCTGCTGAAACTGACCAGTGGCTGACTACAGGAAGCCCAGCCGCTGATCAGTTTCAGCAGCAGCTGACTTGGGGATGCCTGGGGTTCTTAAGTTGAATCTGTATGTAAGTCAGAACTGGCGTCCAGATTCAGCCGCTGCTGAAACTGACCAGTGGCTGACTACAGGAAGCCCAGCCGCTGATCAGTTTCAGCAGCAGCTGACTTGGGGATGCCTGGGGTTCTTAAGTTGAATCTGTATGTAAGTCAGAACTGGCGTCCAGATTCAGCCGCTGCTGAAACTGACCAGTGGCTGACTACAGGAAGCCCAGCCGCTGATCAGTTTCAGCAGCAGCTGACTTGGGGATGCCTGGGGTTCTTAAGTTGAATCTGTATGTAAGTCAGAACTGGCGTCCAGATTCAGCCGCTGCTGAAACTGACCAGTGGCTGACTACAGGAAGCCCAGCCGCTGATCAGTTTCAGCAGCAGCTGACTTGGGGATGCCTGGGGTTCTTAAGTTGAATCTGTATGTAAGTCAGAACTGGCGTCCAGATTCAGCCGCTGCTGAAACTGACCAGTGGCTGACTACAGGAAGCCCAGCCGCTGATCAGTTTCAGCAGCAGCTGACTTGGGGATGCCTGGGGTTCTTAAGTTGAATCTGTATGTAAGTCAGAACTGGCGTCCAGATTCAGCCGCTGCTGAAACTGACCAGTGGCTGACTACAGGAAGCCCAGCCGCTGATCAGTTTCAGCAGCAGCTGACTTGGGGATGCCTGGGGTTCTTAAGTTGAATCTGTATGTAAGTCAGAACTGGCGTCCAGATTCAGCCGCTGCTGAAACTGACCAGTGGCTGACTACAGGAAGCCCAGCCGCTGATCAGTTTCAGCAGCAGCTGACTTGGGGATGCCTGGGGTTCTTAAGTTGAATCTGTATGTAAGTCAGAACTGGCGTCCAGATTCAGCCGCTGCTGAAACTGATCAGTTTCAACAGCGGCTGAATCTGGACGCCAGTTCCGACTTACATATAGATTCAACTTAAGAACAAACCTACAGTCCCTATCTTGTACATAACCCGGGGACTGCCTGTACATTAGTAATAAAATAGAATGAGTAGTTTTAATGTAAATAAATAGCTAATTTTTAAAGCAGAGGTGCCTAATTTTAAAACAAATTAATTTTGTTTTTTTCTTCAGTAAGAATTCATGGAAATCAGCTGACATGTTCAGTACCTTAGGTGAAAGAGAAAGGGATAAAATTTTATTAGAAGCAAGGAAGCTCCAGTGGAAGAAGGAACTAGGTATGCATTAGCATATAATTTGCCATATTTATATTAAGCAATGTGTTATGCTACAACGTTGTCTGTATTAAGTTACCAAAGCTGTAACTTTTTCTATTTATAAAGGTGTAAATCTATTTATCACTAGACTTGAAAAGCATTTTAAATATTCTCTACCGTTTTTGGGTTTTTTTTTTCTTTTTGTAAAACATTTTCTTGAGCTTCTTATTAGTTTTGGCTAAAATAGGTTTTTATTTTTAAAATCTTTCCTTGTTTTATTTCAGACAGTTTGCATGCATGTAAAAAAATATTTATCCTTACTTTGATGCCTATGCTAGGTCAAGAATTGACAAGAGTCAGCTTATGACTTGTCTTTCATATTCAGCATATACATGGCTAGTAGAGCTTGTGGAGCAGGCTAGAGCGTTCCACAGAGCAGCTATCACTTTCACTCCTGATGCAATAGCATTCTGTGACTGTGCCATGGCCTATAGAAAATCAGGGCACAGGTTCTCCCCAGTTATTCCTCCTTTTGTCTTTTAACACACCTCTTTCCTTCTCTAGTCTGGTCCTACCTGGAGAATACTTCTGGGATGTGGACCTGCAGCAATAACAGCACTGAAGTTTTCTGTGCTGTGTATTTTATCTGATGGCCTGATGTCTGCCCCTTGGCTCTATTGCAGCAGCCTATCTGGCACAAAAAGTCATAGCATAGCACTGAATCTGATCCTCAAGTTTCAATTACTGCAGAGTCAGCAGGTAGAAAGCAAGCACTATTTTGTAGGGAGAGGAAATGATTTAGAAAGGGATATAAATTTGGTCATTTTAAAACAGACTTACAGGAATTTATACTCTGTCCCTGCTGTCCAAATTCTGAACACCATTGTGATGTAAGCTCTTTTTAAATGTAACTATTTATTAGGGCTGTCAAGCGATTACAAGTTTTAATAACGATTAATCATGTGCAACTCCCCTTTGAAACGCCACAGCAGTGTTTCAACAGGGCAGTGCTTCACAGAGCTTGGGATCAGCTGGAGTTCCCAGCTGACCCCAGGCTCCATGCAGTGCTACCCTTTTAAGGCTCCGGAGCAGCACTTTAAAGGGGCAGCCCAAGTGGAGCAGGGAGCAGGTAGAGTCCCCAGCAGATCCCTGGCTCTGCGTTGCAAAGCCCCTTTGAAGTGTTGTTCTGGCACTTTAAAGGGGCAGCGCATTAGGAGCCAGGGATCAGCTGGGGACTCTACCTGATCCCTGCTCCACTTGGGTTGCCCCTTTAAAGTGCCAGCTGACCCCCAGCTCCTAATGCGCTTCCTCTTTAAAGCGCCAAAACAGCACTTCAAAGGGGCTTTGCAACAGGGGAGCCGGGGATCAGTCCCCAACTCCGCAATGCAAAGCCCAGAGCAGCACTTCAAAGAGACTTTGCAACGCGGAGCCGGGGATCAGCTGGAATCCCCAACTGATCCCCAGCTCCTAATGTGCTGCCCCTTCAAAAAGGTAGCGCAGCATTAACGCCTACAATTAACGCGTTAAAAAAAATTAACACATTAATCCTGTCCTGTGTTAATCGCAGGCATTAACACAAGTCAATTGACAGCCCTACTATTTATATTTGTCCTTGAATTGATGTTTTCAGGAACACAAGATATTTTAAGATAACTGACAATTCCCAATCTAATGAAGCCATGAATTGACACAAAGCAGATTTTGTTTAACCTGGATGTAATTTGTTCTGGTCAAAAAGCTCACTAAAATCTCCCACTATATTTCTGGGTTTGAGCCTGCATGGTGATACGTGAATTATAATCTGATATAAATTATTTGGATTCAGTACACTCATAAAACCATATAGGCACAAAACTAACAACAAAGTGAAGAGAATTCAGGACTTGTATTTCTTAAGCAACACATGCATTATTTTTGATAAATATTTCCTCAGTCAAACTGATAGTCCTTCGCAATTTTATCCTCTCTGTTGTCTCCTGTTTCCACATCCTCTGCAGCCATCTTTCACACAGAGCCTTTTAACACTTACAACAAACATATGGTTAGAAAGATTAATCAAAGTCCAATTACCCATCTTAAGTTATTTACACTGTTTTTTATATACCTGTACTGCATGTTGCTCTTTTTTGAAATTGCAGTTATTTATATTTAATTTGTCTAACAAAAATTTGTTTTAAAGACGAACAGATAGCTTTAAAGAAGAAACTAAAAGAAACTTTGGAGCAACAGACAAAATACTACCATTGGGCAAAAACGGATGGTGATAAAATCCATTTGGAAAAACTGCACACCGTTAATCAAGCTAAAGTAAGGCTAACAAGGAACCGTTCACTAAAAGCTTTGTTTCTCTAAGAGAACAAATTGGTTTTAGGTTTTTTGTAGTGCTATATTTTGTTCATATTTCAAATTTGCTCTATAAAAGCTTGTTTTGAGTGTGTATCCACTGATTATTTGCAAAATTTGCATTTAGGAATAAATCCCAGCACACAGGTCACATTATTAGATTGTGCACTTGGAGATTCTGTTTCTTCTCCGTGGTAGTAGCACAGTAGCGAAGATCTTTGTGTGGCCTAACAAATAAGGGATGTTAGACACTGGGTAATAGAATAGTTGAGTAACTGCATGAATTCTTATCAGTTACTTGACTATTCTGTAGCCCTCGGAGATGGGGCCAGCAGCCAGTGCAATCCAGCCCCACTCCTGGGCCTGCCGTGGGCAGAGGCTGGGCCC